TAAAATCATTCCCATTGAAATCAAACGAGCTATCAAGAAACCTCTCAGGCTTAAATTCATTTGGATCCTCCCAATTCTTAGGATTTCTATAAATCGCCCAAACATTGATGAAAATCTCCAATATTTCAGAACCGTGTAATCCGAAACCACCAAGGCTTCGCTCTTCCGGTGAGGCACAAGTAGAGGAAGTGAAGGATGAAGCCTAAGAGTCTCTTTCATAATAGCTTGCAAGTAAAGTAACTTAGGAATGTGTGATTCTTCAACGAGTTTAGGATTCGTTCCAAAATCATTAGAAAAATAACATTGTAAGAATCCAAAAGGTCTTGAAGATAAGTCAAAACAGTAACTCATGAGCAGAGTTTTGAAACTTTGATCTCGTGAACATAATCACAGATTCTGCTTATTTGTTCTTTCTCATTTTTTCGTTTCAAATAATAAAAAGGAAACAAGTTCATTCTTCTAATCATCCATAAGATCTCAGAAAGCAAACGACAAACAAGAATCAACTATAAATGATTTCAAACGTCTCAACTTAGCATAATATGTTCTTTCAAGGAGCACTCAGAACAAATGGGACTTTGCAAGAGAATCAAACTTTCAAATAATCTTTCAGATGGTTGTTTACGGATGATTTTGTACATATTAAGAAATAAATTACGAGAAATAATTTTTTAATGTTTAATTAAAATTTTAAATTAAATCATTACAATAATTTTATGTGTATAAATTTAAATATATCTATTCTAATAACATAAGATTATTTTTCAGAAACAGTTCTGATATACTGAAACGTAGCATCTAAGAAATTAATATATGTTATTTTTTTTTTAATTATTTCTATTTAGTTATATTTTACTACACAAATGCAAAAAAAAGGTTAAGCTTTTTTTTTCTCTAAATTATTTTCTCCAACAAAAAGAAACAATAATCAAATCGTTGAAATAAATCTTATATAATATAATGAGAAAGATCATGTGTTACTTTTTCTCCTTTTTTTTCTATCTTTACTATATTTTCTTTTATCAAACAAACACAAAAACAACGTTTAAGTTTTTTTTTTCTCAGAATAAAGTAAGTTTTTTTTTCTTTTTAGTTATGTTTTATCAAAGAAACACACAAAAAAGCTCAAAATTTTTTTTTCTCTCCAAATTATTCTATTTTATCCAACAAACAGAAACAAAAATCAAAATCACTCAAACAAATCTTATATAATAAGGTCATGTGTTACTTTTTCTCTTTCTTTTTTCTATCTTTACTATATTCTCTTTTATCAAACAAACATAAAACATTGCTTAAGTTTTTTTTCCCTTTTCTCCAAATTATTATTTTTTATCCAACAAACAGAAACGAAAATCAAATTACTCAAACAAATTTTATATAATATAGTAAGGTCATGTGTTACTTTTTCTCTTTTTTTTTTATCTTTACTATATACTCTTTTATCGAACAACACAAAAACAACGTTTAAATTTTTTTGCTTCTCAGAATAAAGTAAGTTTTTTTTTGTTTCTAGAAGCAGCTCTGATATACTATTATGTGGCATCTAAGAAAATGACATATATAATTTTGGTTTTTAACAATAAAAAATATAGTAAGGCTTTTTGCAACTCTGATATACTGTCACATGTTATCTTAGAATTTAAAATGCGACATTTTTTCTTTTTTCTTTTTTTTCTATTTCTACTAGATTTTTTTAATTGAACTAATATAAAAACAAAAGCTTCAGTTTGTTTTCTTCTCTGATAATTCTCTTTTATTAAACAAAAATATAAAAAAACCAAACTATCCAACAAAGTACAAATCTTATATAGTATAGTAACGTCAATTGTCACTTTTTTATTTTTCCTTTTCCTATCTCTTTTGTATTCGTTTTTATCGAGCAGATACAAAAACAAGGTTTTGGTTTTATTTTTTTCTTCTCCACTAGAATCTCTTTCATTATGTCTCATATATCACATTATTTTAGTATTTTAAAAAAAAAACTTTTAATAGATGACTTTGTTATCCTTTCTGTCCGAAATAGACTTATTTCATTATGTTTTCTTTGTGGTCAATCTAACAAAAAATCATGCACTATTTGCTTTCATAAATTTTTTTTTACATTAATAGATCATTACTTCCTCTCCTACTGCATTGAACCCCAATCCGTCACCATTATCACAATATGGTTCTACTCTCCAGAACCTTCTTTTCAGTCATTCTTGATGGCAGTTTCACTTCTCTAACATGGTTAAACCTCACATTATTATTTCATCCCTTTAATACAAAATTTAAATGGTATTCATAACTTATAAACCATAAAATAGAAGTTATTTTCATAATTTTCCTTTAATGCAGTATCATTTCACATCAAAATCTCATTCTTGATTATTTTAGAGCATTTCCTAAAAAAATAATAATTTAGTATATTAAATTAATTTATTAATACTGCCAATAGTCAGAGATTTATCTAAATTGAATATTTGGTGAAAAACCCTAGAGCGTTTCGAGTTATACATATCTTTCGGTTAACTGAATCTTCATTCAAAACCTTATTTTTTGTATTTGCATTGTCTAGCTATAGTTGATGCCTATAGTTTTGTCATTTTTATGTGGTAATACTTTTGTGGATCTTGCTTTCTAAGTTCTCAGATTTTCTTTGTTTGGTTTGTGATATTGTTTTATGTATAACTAAGTTATCTTTTCCATTTTCGTGATTTGAATGGAAAAAGATTTACAAACTAAACAGTAAATTTTAATTTAGAATTTTAATTGAAAGCTTGGGAGTTTTGTTGTTTGAGATTTGGCTTTGGTTTCTCTAGCTTTCGGTTCAGCTTCGATGATGGCATCTTCTGGGTTTCCTTCTTTTCTCTGGCATCTTTTCGTTGAAGAAGTTGGTTTCAGGGCAGCTTTTCCTAGCCCATCAGTTTAAGGTCCTTTATTCGCCTTTGCAAATATATTCTTCTATTGGTGGTGTATAGTGGCACAGCTTTACTTCGTTGGTTTCTGGAGTGGTATTGGATTGGGTGTCATTTTGTAGAAGATTCGGTGTTGATTGGTTTTTACTCTTAGATGGCTGGTGGTCCTCTTCTTCGCTGCACTATATTGTCTATGTCTTTTGATTTAGTTTTAATCTTAACTATTGATAAGCTTAGAGAAAACCTTTGTAGTATAATAGTTTCTCTCATCTTTATTCATTAGCTAATAGGCTTATTTATACAAATTCTATAACTTATTTAGCAAGTTCTTTACATATTTAATATAGGAAATCTACCTATTTAACAGTAAGGCAATATACACATTAATGTTAACTTTCCTAATAATAAGGAGGAAATATGTTCATGTCGATCTCATCATCCCGAGATCTCCCAACATCCTCCCGCAAGCTCATACATAGTAACACGTATGAGATTGGACAAATCATCAGGTCGTCTTCAAGGTGTTTATACCCAACCGTCGGGTCATCAATGGCATTATACCTCGCCACAAGGTTCTCATTCGGTGGAAAATACATCATGATCGTAGTGCTGTGTATCTCCATCTTCTCGTCATCATATCACCATGTGAACTGAACGAACCCATCAATTAATTCATGTTCATAGTCCACATAAACTTCATCACATCATCATCACCACCGGATCAGTATATATCCATTGGAGTCATCATCATAACCAATAGCATCCAAGTCGCAAGCATAAGAAACCTGGTAGTACTAAGTCACGAAATAATAATAACAACGTAGTTCTCATACGAAATAAATAAGAACTTTTTTTTTCTTCTTCCTTCTTTTTTTTTTAAGATATAGTAGTAACCAAGAAAATAGAATAATAAATATTAGCAGAAAAAACTTGAATTTCTTGAGAAGTTTGGACAATCACGTCATCCTCTCTCTCTTTTTGTTTTTTAAGAAATCAATAGTTAGAGAAGAAAAACCAATAGAAAGATAAATCTGCAGCAGGAGGCAGCCAAGGATCAAACAAAGTCGTTTGTATGTGACTATTGCTCTGAAAATAACAAAACTCAAACCCATAGGAATTGGATCTTAGCTCTGATACCATCATAAGTTTGGAGGAAACCTTTGTAGTATAATAGTTTCTCTCATCTTTATTCATTAGCTAATTGGCTTATTTATACAAACTCTATAACTTATTTAGCAAGTTCTTTACATATTTAATATAGAAATTCTATTTATTTAATAGTAAGGTAATATACACATTAATGTTAACTTTCCTAATAATGAGGAGGAAATATGTTCACGTCGATCTCGTCATGCCGAGATCTCCCAATAACTATGTGCCAAGGGGGCAGTGGTTTGTGTGTGTTCAGTTCTTCATCAAAGGAAGAAGCTTCCCTCATTGATGTCTTTCTTGCTTGGAGTCTTGTTGCTGAGGCCGAGCAAGCTATCTAGCTGTTCTGCTTTTGTTGATCACAGGACCGGCCCAGAGGGTAGGCGGGTTAAGCCAGCGCTTAGGGCCACCAATATTTTTGAAAAAATTAGGTTAAAAAATAGGTCACAAATTTTGAAAAAATCTAAAAAATGGGCCACAAATTTAAAATAATCAAATAAAGTTTACATTTTCTTCTTTTATAGCTTTGGACCACTATCTTAATTGGACTGGACTTGATCATTTGCTCTGATCCTTTCAGATTTGGCTTGGGTGTTTGCGGGCTTACTTGTTTTGTTGTGTAATTTAGTCTTTGTTAGTAAGTTTTCCTTGTTTGGGCCTAGTTTCTTTCTTGTGGGCTTATGTTTCCAGTGTTGTTTCTATTGACAATGAGCTTATGTATTTCATTTTGGTTTCTCTAATAAACAATTTTTCTTATCAAGAAAACACTAAACATAACAAAACTCGGAAAACATAAACACATTTAAGTTATCAATATAACTTTCACACAAACGAAATAGAAAAACATGACAACACTGAAAAGTATTTATTTTGAGATAAAAGCAAAGAGGTGGAAAATCAAATTAAAATTAAAAGTTGTTGTTGTTTGTTGTTGTTTTCAATGTTGAGCCACCTTTAGAGAATTTGTTTTTTGATCTCATTATCTTGACTTTTCTTTTTGGAGCGTATGAATATTTTCTTCACAATACTGCAAAACTCACTACATACAAAACAAAACATTCTCATTAAATTCTTTCTAAAATCTAGGAGAGGGATAAATAAATAGAATAAAAACTTACATCCATGGATCATCTCCAACAAGCATGATATCTCCTTCATCATCTACAAAAGCTATTTCCCACTGATTGCGCATACGCAGCTCGTCTTTGAGATCAAAAAGTTTTTCTAGTTCATTGATTAATTGCGTATATCCATCAAGAACAGTTAAATCCACAGCTCTTCCTATAGCTACACCTTGCATTCGAACCTGTTCAATAACAATATTAAGAATATATGGGCTAATCAAAATTGTCTTACTCTATTTTGTAGTTTTATACAAATTTCTAATAAAAGACGTATCTAATATATTATAATACAAATTAAAATACTAGTATATATATAAGAAATCATTTCTACTGTGTATTTAATTTTCTAATCATACCCAGATTCTCTAATACTCTAATTGTACAATATAAATTTTTTTGAAACTACGTAATATGTAAAGAATGAGAAATTGATGATTTTTTCAATACCTTGATACAACTTCTACTAGAATTGATTTGCTTGCTTTGGATATCTTTTGATGATGCTGGAGTTTGGACTTGTTCAATCTTTTCTTCATCGGAGATTCTGGAAATTTTAACTTTTTGATATAAGTCAATTTGTCCGAGGAGATCTTTCGTTTCTGGTGGAGTCATCTGATCAACTCCAAACAATTTGTAACCACTTGTTGTATCAGTGGTTATTTTTTCATTGAGATACCTAACCATTTGGTCATTACTGTTCGGCTTAGTTATGGTAGGAACTGAGTAGATCATTACCCAGCCAGACGAAATCTTGGAATAATCGGTTGCATCAAAATTACTACACTGAGAAATACTCATTGGAGAGTTCCTGCTTGATTGTCCAATTTCTTGGCCGTGAGTCAGGGTAGGAATCCGCATATCTAAACCTATAAATTAGAATATAATGAGAACGATTACACAAGAGGACTTAACCTATTAAATAGTGTTCTCTTACCAATTTCATCAACATGACGTGGTCGTTTATTCTTTAGCAAAGATGATTGTTTAATGTTTGATGAAGGTGCCAAAGCCTCGATTTCCCATGGGGAAACCTTAGTAGATTTTGGAATTGATGCAGCCACATCCCACTTCACCTACAAAAACAGAGTTAATGAATGCTATTATTGTAATAAAAAAAACTCAAGTATAAAGAATCTTACTTTTAAGCTTCGCCAGTCAGAATCTTTCCAATGAGCGAAATAATTTGTATTGCTTATAATCTTCCCCGAATATCTTTAACAATGATAACAAAAAACAGAAATTCGTAATCATATTTTGGAAACAAATAACAAAATATAAGTGTTTAAGTTTTACCTTGTTTCAGTAAGATTAACACCCTCAAACTGCATTGTAAAACTTGAATCTACATTGAATTTGTTATTCATTGCATCCATATACTTCTTATATTTGACGACGAATTGGCTTGACCTTATATAATTATATCAAGAACAAAAATATAAGCATATTTGTTAAAAACATTAATCATATGATGTTTTAAGTAGAATAATAAAGTGCTATTTATTACCTTGGCTTACAGAACACATTGAACACGCAATTGGTAGTGATAGCATTCATTGCAGAAACAATGATTCCATGGTGCATACTCTGTTTTGAAATTATCGATGAAACTATACTGTCTTGTTGATAAGCTGCTATTCGTATTCCAACTCGTGACTCCTCATTCTCTCCTCTTGAATAAGAAAGTAGTTAAAGTTTCAATTTTGTTTTTTAAAGAAACAAAGGAATATAAAACGACAAACTATATATACCTAAGGAATACGAAAGAGTCTCCCAGAACCAATTTTTTTGCTGTCACGAACGCACTCCAACCAGTTGTAAAAGTATACCTTTTTGGTGTACCTAATCGATTGTTTATAGTTAAATGGAGATCATTAATCGCAGAGTTTAAAATAAAAAAAATATTCATTACCTCTAAAGGAGTGCTTAAATCTCCATTCATAACCGTGAAGATCTTTAGCAACTATTTCTTGAGTCGGTGTTGGCTGAGACATGTCCTAAAAAAATTCAATGCAAAGAGTCATATAAAAGTTCACAAATCGAGTCATATATAAGATTATTAGGTTAAGAAACTATGTGAAAATACCAGCGGAGTAAGACATTCAATGGCATGTCTTTTTAATATTGTAAATTCTCCATGTGAACTTATATCTGACGCAGTTAAAACTTTGGTGAAATAGTAGATTTTCTGATTTTCTTGATTATTGTTAGGAATAGAAATTCCACTTTCCTAGAAATTTTATAATTTGAAAAATTATTTACTCTAGATTAGAAAAAGAATTATGAATTTATAAATAAAACTTTTAATTTGACACTCACTGCTGTATCTGGCAACAAGCTAATTTTTGCATAATATCATCTGTATCATTCTCCACCTAATATCAAATATGAAAAAGTAATAAGTTTCTTCTTTGTGATGAAATAGTACATAAAAAAAACTATATCATATTATAAATGCCAATATATTTTATGTATATTTTCTAAAACATAAACATCAATATCAGAGAAACATACCTTTAACTGAATATCAACAACGTTGCACCAAATTTTTGAAAGAAATATCAAAAATTGGTGTTATTTCACCCATGTCATCGTTTGAATATGTCTCAAGCTGGAAATACCATCAAATTGCACAAATGTTTTTACAAATTTAAAACGGAGAAAGAGAACATAAAAAAGTAAACCGGAAGAAGCTTACATATTCTATATATCCTTGAGGAAAGTAATATACTTTTTCTCCAAATTTTAGAAGATCAAACAAAGGTCCACCACACAACTTCCATAACTTACCATACAAATAGTTTTTGGTTTCATCAACTAAGAAAATAAAAAAAATTACCACAAATAAATATCTCTGACTTATAAAAATCAAAACTTGAGTTCAAAAATTTATACCTGAAGATACATGTTGTGCATTCATAACTAGTTTAGTTGACATCAATTCTTATCATTGGTTTCGAACTTCCACTTCCAATATATGATCCTAATTAAAAAAACCACCAATACTGAATCATTTTTATTTAAATGTTATAGTAACTCAAAACAGTTATAGTAAATTTCGTAACTGTTTTAAATGTGCATAATATATGCAAATATGTTTTTTTCATGTATGGTAAATCAGATTGTTATATTTTGATAAACGAGTATGTGTATTTGAAAAAGTGTATTTTGATAAACGAGTATGTGTATTTTTAATATTTTTGGCTATACAATCGTTTATATAATATGCAAAAATAAATCTAGATTATATAAATTATACGATGATAAAGATCATAATTAATAATAAATAGAACCATAAAATTAGATAATTAGTATGATACCTTTTAAATGAATTAGTGATAGCTTTTGATATTGCTCAATGAATAACTAAACAAGTTTTTTTTTTTCTTCTTTAGTCAATTTTATTTAGTTTGTTATGTCGGAAATTTGATACGTTGCATGTATTTATAGTTGAAAAACCTTTGAAACTGTACATTAATATTTTGCAGATTTCTTTTTTTGACTAACGATTTTGGAAGTTCAATTAACGGGTCAAATATACATTTTTTAGAAATATCAAAACTTCTTTAATAAATGATTAATTATGTTTCCAGAATTATATACGTAGCAGTGTTATAAAAGAAACACCTTAGAACCAACTCATAGTTAGTTGGGGTTATTTTGAAATGAATTTTTAATTATTATTAAAATTTTCAAAATTTATTATTATTGGTTAATGAATTTTTATATTCTTACTAAATTTTAGTGTTATTGTTTGATGGTTTTTAAAATTCATACAAAATCCATTGTTATTAAAAAAAAATTGTAATGACTATATAAATTTATTAAAATCTTTGTTATTGGGGCATATATTTTAAATAATTGAACACATGAACGAAAACTTTTAAAATATTCGGTGTATCCTTTAGATTCTCAAATTAGGTAAAAAAATTTAATATATTTTTAAATATACAAACTCTCTGTAAATCTAACAAATTATGTTTTACAAATTTAACAAATCTTCTTTTATAGATTATTTTGCTTTTATAAATAATACAGTACAGTATCTCTCAACTCCTTACTAAAAACTGATAGCATTTATTATAAATATGCCAAATATCTTTTTTCAAACAAATATATCATTAGGATTTTTGAAGGATTATGCAGAATTGACAAGTTTATGTAACCCTGTTTTTGTATTCTTCCGGTTTCTCTGATTTCTTTACTTTTCAAAACTTATGACATATTGTGTAACCCTGTTTTTGTAGAGTTAAAAATATTTTCTTCAATTTAGACAACCAATAAGATTGCAATCGAGAATGGTAAAATTTCAAATAACCAAACATAAATTTCAAACTGATCAATTTGAAGATATGTTTTGTGAGTAGTTTGTTTCTAATACGTACGCATTCTTACAAGAAATAACCAAACATAAATTTCAAATTAATCATAAATTGGTGAATACATGCTAAGATCGTTTTTTAAACCTTTAATACAACATTTAAAAATATGAAAATAATTAATAACCTTACAAAATCGTTAGTCAAATATGAAAACTATTAATAAACTACTAAATTTATAACGCGCGCTACGCGCAAATCTGTATTAATAATTTGGGTTAATTCTTTTTTAGCTATTGTTTTTTAAATTATCAACACAATAATAGATATGTAGAAATTTTCTTTTATATAATAGAATTTAAAATATAATTTTTAAGTTTCTCCTATTTTTATTTATAAGGTTTTAAATCTTATCAAGTAAAACAATAACAATGACACATATCGAATTATCCAACTTTGACGTAAATTTGATTTAGAGAAGGATTTTCTTGCTAACATCTTTATGTTTTGTTTTGTTTTCTATATGAATTCTATATTTCTTTTTTCTTTAAGGTTTATATATTTAAATATATTTTTTTACTGAATATTTCATTGATATTGTGTACATATGCATATATAATCTATGATTCATGTTGATTTGCATTTAGTTTTGTTATGAAGCTATAATGATCGTGCAAAACCCTTTTTTGCTTCTCCACCAGATCTTCCACGAGTTTTAACTTATGCCTTTATTCAGTTTATTATGGAGTTATTTTTTTTTTGCAGTCTAATATTTGATAATTTTAGTTTTGAAATTTGTAAGATTGGTGGTGTGGAGTCTTCACATTATTTTTCACTGTTTTTATATTTTGTGTGCTTTCTGCATGTTTTGATTTGAATATTTAGTCTACATATACCAATTTGTGCTTGATTTATAATCATGTCAAGCTATAGTTTAGATCAAAATTTTGTAGCAAAAGTATATTCGTCTTTACGAATGCGACAAAAATAACATAATGTTGTTCAAATCATAATTTAATATTTGTCTTTATAGTTCTTTTTTTAAGAATCTATATATGTCTAATTTTTAAAATGTCTTGTCTCATCAAATACTTGTAATTTAATATACCAAAAAACCACATAAAAGTGTAAAAACAAATCAAATTCCATTTAATAAATATAATATTGACATGAAAATATACAATAGTACTTTAATTCTTCTAGCCAAAGAAAATAAATTGTAATCATCTTTAGCTCCATTCTTGTTATGTATTGGTTGTTTCAAATCATATCTGAATATTTTTGCCTTCAAATAGTTTTAATTTTTATAAGTAATAGGTATAATATGTTTTTATAAACAATTAATCTTTGTAATAAATTACAACAAACAATGCTGAAAAAATTATTATATTATAATAAAAAAAGTGTTCTTTAAACAAAAATTAAATATATTATATGTAAAACAGCATTTTTACTATTATTATTAGATGGTTTTTATATAATTGAAAGTGTTATTTTTTATTAATAGATTTTTATAATTTTAAATATTAGTTGATTTTTTTTATTCTACATAATTTTCTTATTTTATAAATTTTATTAGTTAGTATAATATTAGAATTTGCAATTTTCTTAATAAGTCAAAAAAGAAAATAATTAATTACATAAAATGATGTGGACCAATGAATTTAATATTTTTATGATTTTTTATAATCTAAGAATATGTTTGAAAACAAATTATTGCTAATGGGAAAATAAGATCTAATTTCCATATTTTTTAAACCCGTTTATATTAATAACTATCTACAAATTTAGAAATTTTCCTAATAACAACAAAAACAAAATTAATTAATTTTTAGAAACTTTACTAATAATAATAAAAATAAAATTAATTAATTTTCATATATATAATTAACTATAAATGATTAGGTGTACCAATAGAATTGAATCTTTCAAATTCTATGTGGACACCTTTACAGATCTATAGCATTTTCAATTTATTTTAATCTATAGTTAATTAACAAACATTTTATTCAAAGAATTTCAAAAGTCTTTTACCAATGGCTAACAATATTTAAGTCAAAACATTAATTATTTTCTTTACTTATTATTTCCTATTTGAGTTCACTAAAAATATATTCACTTTTTTGAATATTTGTCATCCATTCTTGTTCTATCTACTATTTTAATTTATATATTAAATAATATTTGTAAATATGAATTAATTTTGTTAATATGTGTACTGTTAGCTCGAACATCAACTAAAATGAGTTCAAATATTTATACTTCTGTTTTGAAACAAAATCAGCAAATAAAAGTCAATCAATCTTTGAATATTAAATATCATTGAAATACACGAGTTTTGGATATACCAAAATCCAATTGAGATTGCATTTATCATGTCAAGATATAGTTTAGATCAAATGTTTGTAGCCAAAGTATATTGGTCTTTGTATATGCTACAAAAATGACATAAAATTGTTCAAATCATAATTTTCTATATGTCTATATAGCTCTTTTTATAAGAATTTGTATATGTCTTAAATGTCTTGTCTGACCAAATATTTGTAATCTAATATACCAAAAAACAACTTAAAAGTATAAAAAAAAACAAAATCAAATTCTATTTAATAAATATAATATTGACATGAAAATATACAATAGTACTTTAGTTCTTCTAACCAAAGCAAATAAATTTTGTCATCATCCTTAGCACCACTCTTGTTATGTATTGGTTTTTTCATATCATATCTGAATATTTTTGTTTTCATATATTTTTAATTTTTATAAGTAATAGGTATGATATGTTTTGATAATAATTAATCTTTGTAATAACTTACAACAAACAATGGTGATAAAATTATTATATTATAATAAATAAAGTGTTCTTTAAACAAGAATTTATTTATATTATATGTAAAACAGCATTTTATTATTAATTTTAATTGTTTTTTATATAATTGAAAGTGTTATTTTTTATTAACAGATTTTTATAATCTAAAATTAAGTTGATTTTTTAAATTTTTTATATTTTACATGATTTTTATTTTTATAAATTTTATTAGTTAGTATAATATTAGAATTTGAAAATTTTCTTAATAAGTCAAAAAAGAAAAAAAAATAACTTAAAAATCAAATTAATTATGAAAAGTGATGTGGACCAATGATTTTTTATAAATTATATGATTTTTTATAATTTAATAATATTTTTTAATTTTTTTAATTGTCAATAGGAAAATAATATCTAATTTTCATACTTTTTAAACTCGTTTTTATTAATAATTATCTAAATTTTTA